TTCTTTTTCTTTGGTTTGCAAAAGTCTGAAAGCCACAAACAAGCTGTCACTATTTTCCCTTCTCTCCTCCCTCACCAATTTCAAACAAACCCTAAAATGTACAAGAATAAATATTTTTAAATAAAAACCCGATGAGCTTGGCCCTTCTTTCTAGTGCTGCTTTAACCCCCCCCCCCCCCTCTCTCTCTCTCGCTCTCTCTCTCTCTCTCTCTAAAACTTCACTAATAAATCCTCTCTCTACAGTCACATTACATTATCCACTCACTCTCTCTCTCTCTCTTCTGTGTGTTGTGCAGCAGACACCTTCAATGGCATTTTGCTGACAGGTAAAATCAGTGATTCTTCACTTATTAACCTAACACACCCAACTAATCATAGCTTTAGCTTTATATTTTATTTCCTTGACTACCCACTTTACTATTAATGGAATCTATGTCAGTGAATATATGGCTGGAAAACCAGTCTTCCATCTGCACAACTTATCTGTAAGTTTACTCTCTCTTTCTCTCTCTCTCTCTCTCTCTCCCCCTCTCTCTCCTCTTGTTTGTTTTTGTTCTATTTATTTGTTTAATATGATCTAAACTAGTAATGTTTTCCATCTTAGATTCCCAATTTCTTGGAACAACACTGCTTCCATATCATTAATTTATTGGAAAGAAAAAAAAGTCTCTTGACTTTCTAGTTTGGGGTTCTAAAAAATTGCAATGTCCAGAGCTGCATTTCTTGCTTTCCTACTTTGTGTTTTCTTTGTTATGGAGTCAATTCTTGTCAATTCTGCATATTGCTGTTTTGTATGATATAATACATTAATACCCTTTTGAATTTGAAAGTTCATAAGCTAATCCGTGATTAGATCTTTGCCTAATTGGACTTCTGATGTGGTTAATTTGGTAATTTTACTCTGTTGATGCTGTTTATACTGTGAATTTTTGAAATTATGTTCTTATTGAAGGTGATACAATTACAAATAGCAAGAGAGAAGCTTAATTGAGGGAGGGACGGTGGGGAAAGCAAAGAGGAGGTAAAGTAGTAGTAGAAGCAGCAGCTTTTGAAATAAGTGCTTTTATGGACTGGAACTTGAAAGCAGCTTCTTGGGATTTGTCTGAACTAGAACAAGAAACCTTTTCCAACTTGGACACTACAGTTGATGGGTCTAGCAGCTTTGGAGATCATAGGACCTTCAAAGGAAGCAGCTTTTCTGTTGATTTGAAGCTTGGTCAGTTGGGTGGCTCTGGGAATAATGACCTGGTGGATATGCTGAAGGAGCCCGTTCCGAGAACTACCTCATCATTTTCGTCTGGACCATCAAAGAGGTCTAGAGTGGCTTACAGCGGATCTCAGATGGTTTCCTGCCTCGTTGATGGATGCAATTCAGACCTTAGTACTTGTAGGGATTACCATCGGCGGCATAAGGTCTGTGAGTTACATTCTAAGACTCCTCAGGTCACGATTAACGGAAACAAGCAGCGATTTTGCCAGCAGTGTAGCAGGTGTAAGATTTTACAACAATTTTCATTAGTCTTGTAATGTTGATTTTCATTTGATTAAGTATTCGCATATGTTGATTTCCACTTCGATTTTATTCACACAATGATCATTCAAAGATAATGTCAGTTGGAAGTTTGTCTATCCTTTTGCATTCTACTGCCTCAATGGATGATCATGTACTTTTGTTTACTGCTATGATTGTAGAGATATCAGATTTAAAAAAGTGCACATTGAAGGTCACTTTACATTTCGACAATGCTTTATTAGGTTCTTTCTGATTTAGGATTTAGCGCGAGGATCGTTATTACTTGTGAGATAAAGGATGAGCTGAATTGATTATACATTAGATATCAAATGTTGTCTTGAAAATCGTTAGATAGGATGGCGGCTAGACTGAGCTGAATTTTTTTGTTCTAGCTGCTAAGTTGTTTGGTTATAGAACAAACTGCAAATCCGTTTTTTTGGTAGCTCCTAATTCTAGCCTAGAATAAATTCAGAGGTAAACTAACAAATGTTCAACTCATATCTATGTATTCGTAGCTCCGTTCGCATGAGTACCCTCTGTTCGAAGCCACGATCTGGCAAGGTCAAGTTCCTCACGCTCCGTGCGCTCTTTTGTTGCAGGTTCCATGCTCTGGAGGAATTTGATGAGGGAAAGAGAAGCTGTAGGAAACGTCTTGATGGACACAACCGGCGGCGAAGGAAGCCTCAACCAGAACCCTTGTCACATCCGGGGAGTTTTATGTCCAGTTACCAAGGTTAGCTGCAACCTTTGTTTTTGGGGAGCACTATGTGGAAATTAAAGCTGTGAAAGCAGACATTTTATACGAACATCCACTTGGTTGAGTGCTTCATCAACTATGTCTGGTGGTCCTGCCACAGTTGATGATCTAGGGGCCACTAGCAGATCCATCTCTTCAAATATCTTTATTTTTTATTTTTAAGATTCTTCCAAACTATTAATCTTCCTGTCAAATGCTGCTTAATTTCTCTGCTGTCATTCAACTGATCATAAATTACAACCCTGTTTGAGTGTTTTTAATTAAACTTTCGCACGAACGTGCGGGCTCAAGTGAATGGATGCTGAGACGGTAAGTTGAGAAAAAACCAATGCGGATTTCTTGCACTAAAATTTGTTTTTCCACTTGTTGCAGGTACCCCACGATTGTTGCCACTCTCTAGTTCACTTGTATACCCCTCCACAAATATCGTAAACCCTACCTGGACCGGCATTGTCAAAACGGAGCCAGATTCTGGGATTCATAACCACCAACTGCCAATGGTCGATAAGCAAAACATGTTCCTTGGGTCCTCAGACAGCACCAGCAGCAGCGGTTACAAGGGAGGAAAGCAATTCTCACTCTTCCAAAGCAGCGACAGCTCCCCAGTCCACCACAACCACCAAACATCTCATCATCACAGTGCTTCTGTCTGCCGGCCCCTTCTCAACACCATTTCATTCTCCGAAACTGGTGGTGGTGGTGGCGGTGGGACAACAAAGAGCAAGACGTTTTGTGACAGGTTAACAACTCAAACCCACGATTCGGACTGTGCTCTCTCTCTTCTGTCATCACCGCAGACGCAGCAGAGATCTGAAATAGGTTTGAGACACATGGTGCAGCAGCCTAATTCAATCTCTCTGATGCAACAACGATTTGGCCCCGCGGGTCTACACGGAAACAGCAGTTCCATTGAGCCCATGGATTCAGTTCTGGTCTCCAATGGAAGTGGTGATGCAAACGTTCATTGTCCCGGAATGTTTCACATTGGCTCTGATGGGTCTCAGGGCAGTGGGAATCAACACCCTCAAACACCTCCATTTCATTGGCAGTAGCGAAAATTATTTGTAGGATTTCTAGATCAGTTGTTTCGGAATGGAATTTAGAACCTCATTGTATGGTTTTGGAGGTCTTTCTTTTGTTCATGTAAACATAAATATATTATTTTTAAAGTGACTGACTTTTGAAGCAGATGTTTTTTAAACCAATTTTTAGTAAACATAAAAGTAGATCTTCGAAAGCACTTAAAGTGCTTTTGGAATTCCAAATCAATTCACCAAAAGTATTTTCAAACAAGTCCTATATTTATCATGGATAAAAATGTTTTTGCATTCACAATTTCTTAACCTTCCAATCACTTTGCCAAGTTTGCATTCTTAATTGTGTTGCTTTCAAGGGAGCGATTTTGGTACTTTAAAAAAAATAAAAAATAATTATGCACTCCACTCAAGTGTATTATTTCTCTTAATATATAGGGAAATGATAAGCGCAAACATTTTTTTATACGCTAATCATGTCCATTTTTTTCATTTGATTTATTTAATCTAAGTAGTATAAATATAGAAAGATGGGCAAAAGGTTAAAAACAAGTGTTAAAAAATAGGAGGTTGAAATGCCTCTATGAATTTTCTCAGCCCTCAAAAAAGACAGATAACCGTGTCTAGCCACCAGTTGGTGTTTTTTTTTTTTTTTTTTTTTTTTTTTTTTTTTTACATCTTGTAATTTCAATAGCCATATACCATTAGTTATAGCCGCAGACCATTAGTTGTTATTGCGGTCACTTGGTTTGTAAAATGTAAGCCTTCTATATATTTAAACTTGGTAGTTAATGTTTTTGGCTTTAGTTTTTGAAACTTCAGTAATATTGAGCTACTGACACTCAAGTGTTACTACATTGATTTGTAGTTACACTTGTAAACGTTGGATGGAAATATGCAATTCCAAATCTTAAACCCCTAAAACACATAATTAATTTGTAACACACCCCTAAATACATAAATCATTCATAACACACCTAAGTAAGCTCTAATAACATGTTCTTAGAGTTATGTTTTTGTGAATCTTAGTGAGATTGAGCTATTAGCACTTAAGTATCATGAAGTTACAAAATTTCAAAATTTAAGCACAATATGAGCCTAAAATCAAATTATTTGTGTGGAATAGAGGATTTAGACACAACTCTATAAGCACAATTTCTACTTATTTAGGTTTTCTAACTTTCAATTGAAATCGACAAACGAGTTAAAACCAACTCAGTGAGTTTAGATTCGATTATTAGGTTATTTGACGCCCGTGACGGAAAAAAACAAACGACTTTTATTTGAATTCAATACGACCGGGTACGCATTAATTGCGTTTCTGACATTCAGGTAAAAACCGACAAACAACTTTGAGAAAAAATCTGAGGCAATTCAATATAGATATGATTACAGTACAATCACGATATGAGCACAAGCAATTTGAACCGTTCATTGATGTAGCTCCACTTGAACGTACGACTAAGATTAACCCAATAACACGCGAGCGGCGCTCGTTTGTAATATACTGCTCATACCGTAGTAGTAAATTCAGAGAATCACAAACCCTATTAAATTTTTTGCTTTTCCTTGTTAGCTTCACATGTAATGGACTGTTTAATTGGATTGGTTTATTTGCAGAGTAGATAATAAGTCTATGGTTTTCATGCAAAAAAGACATAATCTTTTGATGCTTAACTCTTAAAGAGATGAAAAAGAAACGCCTATATAAGAGGACCTCCCCCTACCACTATCACCACAGAACAGAGCTACTCAGTAAGACTCATCTTCTGTTAACATAAACGAAACCGATGTGGTGAGGGTAGATCGATGGCGGCTGCACAGCTGAAAACTGATCGTGAACAAGGAGTGTTTTCTCGGGTAGACGACGACATTTTGCAGAACATTCTGGGGAGGCTACCGGGGGTTGCTTTCGCGGCAGCCGCCTGCGTCAACACAACTTGGAACAAGAACTGCAGTCACATGCTCTCTCGCCCCAAATTTGCTTCTGCCCTTTCTCTCAACCCCGACCTGCACGTATGTCTTTAAATACTTTGTTTTCCTAAATGCTCTGTTTTCCTTAAATACTCTATTTTCTTAAAATTCTATGTCTCCTTAAATGCTCTGTTTTTATTTTTGACTCTGGTGATTGTTTGTTTTTGAAGAATGCGATTGATGAAGTTCTTGCCGAGATTTTCTCTAAGCCGATTCGACCGGACTTCGTTGTCGCATATATTGGAACAAATTTCAGCTTGGAAGAAACTCACCAACTTGTAAACTTTCAGATTTTTTTAGTCTTTTTGTTATTAATTTTTCTTCGTAGTTCTTAATTTATTTAGTTTTCGGTTTTTAATTAATGGTTATGATGCAGATTACTGAGAAGATAGGCTCTGGAATTCCGATCATTACAAACAGAGCCATGGGACTAATCGGCACTGATGTCGAAACTCGTAATCTCCGCGAGGCATGTTCTTAAATTTTATGAAACTTTTTAAGTTCAGTGAAGAACATTTGGCACCAATTGAGAGCATGTTGAATGTTGCACTATATGTTTGTGTAGGTGAACTGCGCTCATGGTAACTCTGCAAGGAACCCGGAAATCAATGGAGGCCTCGTCGTTTCCGTTGGATTTGTGCCTGGCTTGAAAGTTGAAATATTCCCCCTACCGAGTCCAAGACATGTGAGCTTTGTTGTTTTTTCAGTTTGTTTTGTGAAGAGCAATTACATGACATGGAAGTGTTCGATACTCAGGCACCGCACTTGCTTATGATGGAGCATTTTGTGAGAGACATTCTGAGCTATTCGGGTCCTCTTCCGCCTTCATGCATGATGATGTTCGGGGTAAGTTGGTATTCCGTCTTCTGAGTTTTACAGGCTAAAAATTGACATCTTGGTTTCCTTTTATTTCTTCGAACTCGGTTTCTTCCTTTCCATTGCTAATTTTTGACATGGTTGATCTAGGATAAACATTTTGACATGAACCTGGTTGTCGCAGCGCTCGGTGAGTACTGTTTTCTTCTCTGATACCGCTATTGGATGTCGAAAACTTGTTCATGGATCTTATGGTGGATATCTTCCGTTATCTTGCAGATGCTATTATGCCTGACAAGACAGCCATCGTCGGTGATGCAAGTGCCTCCTTTATGTACACTCGGAGAAATGAAACCGGAAATTACAGTAGCGATTTGTTCTACAGTGCCGGTGCAGCGCTCGTTTTTGTCAAGGATCAACACAAACCTGATTGTATGTCCCTTATGTCCCTATCAACACACATATACACTCAGACTCATACACACATATTGTCATATATTTTCTTAATTCGAAGTTCTGGTTTTAACAAATCGTCAATTTTATGCGCAGACATGGGGGAAATTGAGTTCCATGTCACATTGTCGCCGGGTTTGATGCCATTCGGTCCTCAAATCAAGACAATATCATCTTATGAGACGCCTACTCATAGTTCATGGATTTCCGCTGTAATGTCAGAATTCGAAGGTGTCTTCATTGATTCCCACACCATTCTAAGGGAGCTCCAAAGCCAGGTGAGTCGACATGAATACCTAGACTGTTACATTGTCAAACTGTCAATCTACCACAAAAAAAAAATGAAAAACAGAAAAAAAGTCTAGACATCCACAGGGTTTGTACTCTCAATTCACAACTGTCAACGTATCATGCTAGACTGTTAAACTCAAGACAGATTAATTTCGTTCTGACAAAAATCCATGCTGATGCAGTTGGGCATTTCGGACATTTACACTGGGGTCACCAAAACAAGACAATACCAAAACGGAGCAGGACCACCAGTCTCCATGACAACCTTGAATTTTCATGAAGTTAGAGGGTAAGTCACACGAACTTATGTTTTTGCCCTTGAATTTTTGTAGACGTATATATGTATTTATATCTATGTTTATGTTTGAAATTTGTAACAGGGGATATGGGGACTACATTCTTGTTGATGGTGTGGGAATCCAACCCGACGACATCTTCTTCTTTTACCATTCAGATGCTGCAACTGCATTGAACACCGTTGATTACGCATCTGATAACCTTCAAACTTTGGTTCACAATGATTCCGATATCCAGCGAGAGGTGTTCGGAGGGTTTATCTTCTCCAGCAACAAACGCGGCATATCGTTGTTCAATAGACGTAATGTTGAGTGTAAGCCGTTTGCTGACAACTTCCCAGGAGTTCCGGTAGCCGGAATGTTTGGAAATGGGGAGATCGCGTGTGGTGCTTTGCTTGGTGAAGAAGAAAACCAAGAACTCGGTCATCCTCGTTGCTGCGTCCATGCTTGTAGCTCTGTGTACTTGGCCATGACTTACGTTCCTCCGCAAGCTCCATATTCCTTGGAGTAGATGTTTTGGTCGGTTTTCTCCCATTGGAAAAAATAAAGTTTGGAGAGATTAGGGTTCTTGTGGTCTTGTTTTTGTTGGGGAGTTGGCAGAAGTTGGTGTTCTGTCTTGTCATATGTTGTTGTAAGCGTTTGGATTATGTACTGGGTCTGAGGCAAGCACTTCATCATGGCTTCTATATATATAAATCAGAAGTGCTTGTAGTGCTTTTGTTGTTGGTAATTTAAGTGTTAGGAGTGTTATCTTATGTATCTTTGTTTGCAACTCTAATAACAAAGGGAGAAATATTACCCTTTTGTACATATGAACTGGGTTTGCCCTAATTAATTTGTTGGTTTTGTGTTACATTTAAAGTCCAACAGATCTTGAGCTCAACTGGCATCGCATTGATGATAAATCATAAGTTTACACTAATTAACAATCAAAACCTGGTTTATTGGATGTCAATATTTAACTAAAAGACTCTCACATAACTTGTTACATCGATTATATGACCCAAAGAAGGGTTACTGCTAATTTGCTATTATAATATAAAAGGAAGAATATTGTCGGTAAGGTTTTAGGTTTGACCTTCACAAAAAATTGTGTCAAACACAATTTTAGAGAGTGTATTTGATTGAGATTTTGAAATATTATTTTTGAAATATTTTCCAAAGACTTATAAACTCATGATGTTTAATGGAGTTTCATAGATACCATGTTAATTTTAGATGAATTCACTACAAACCGTAGGGAGAGAGACCTCATTTCCAAAATCTAAAAAACACTATAAAGTCACTCCAAATCCATTAAAATTCATCATCTTTTAAAATAGTTTAAAACCAAATCTTATTTGAATACGCATTGAGTTTTATGAAGTACTTTAAAATCCAGAATTAATACACTCAGATTCATATGGAGTTTAATAAACTCTTTTAAAATCTTGATGAATACCCATGCACTTCCATAGATTTAATGAAAATCTTGGTTGAATACATATGAATTTGTACACTCTTTAAAAATTCTTTAATCTCTTGAATATCCTCACCCCTTCAAAAAAAAAATCGTTAAAAAAGACATCTTGATAATCTATATATTAATTGAGAAAGACTTGGCTCCTCAAGGATTGGGGATGAACTACTGGTGGGCACGGACTGAGCCAGGCCAAAAATTGGAAGGGTCGAACCAGACTCGTTTTGAAAATAGAATGGGCCGGGCCAGGCGATAATAATTAAAAATTGAAACTCACCTTAACCCAGCCTATTTCAAATGGGCCAGTTCCTACAGATCCAAACGGTTCTATAAAAAAAAACATTCTTTCAATTAGTATTTTGGCCTCTAAATACCAAACTTTTTTATTGGAAACTGTCGAACAACATCTCCACATCCTCTCCACTCCTTCCTCATCCTCCTTGAATTCTCCACCGACTTTCATTTCTTCTTACCTCTCTCCCTCTCCCTCCCTCATCTTTGCCTCAAAACCTTAACCCCAAACCCAATCTTATCCCCAAGCCCAACCCAAATCCTTTGCCCACTCATTGACCTCGCCGTCATTGGCTTGATCAAACTCCTCTTTCACCACTCCCGCCCTCTCTACAACAAGAACATGAGCATCCCCGTTCAGTGGATCATTCCTCAGCAAAAATGCCTCTAGGGTTTGGTCTGTCGCCTTCCCCAGCTGCCAATCAGGATATGAAACTAGAAACCTAAATGCAAGAAAGAGACAAAAAAAACACAAACCTGAAGAAGGCAAGGGGTCATTCTAGACGGGCCTTTGGGGAAGAAAACCAGAAGAAGAAACATAAGTTGAGAGCAGATAAGGCATTAGATTCATAGAAAATTATCAACTGGTAAAGATTCAATCAAACGGTAGGAAATCAACGGTCCGAGCCAGGGGGTTGTTTCCAAAAATTCTTAGACCCGCAATGCCTCGTTCTGCCCCGCCCCACTGCACCTTGACCTATTTGGTGTATATAACATTTGGACCTACACCAAACGGCATGAACCCGTCCTAACCCGTGGATCCATGACCCGTTTTCCCACCCTTAGGATGAGCTCCTCCTTCAAATACCTTGTGACCTATTTATAGAATTTCGTGTTTATGATCAAAATCATTTGTGTTATAAGTCGTAATGTGAAGACCATCTCTAAAATAAAATCAATAAAATTAAGAACGTTTAGTGATTTATAATATGAACGACTCTATTTATAAGCGTAAAGTTTTATGAATAGGCAACAAAGTATTTTGAGAAGAAACTTCACTTCAACCTCAAGGCCTTCCATATTAGTTTGTGTGAGTGTGCTACTTATGTATAGTAATCAGGCAACCTGAATTTGATACTTATAATACTACTGCTACACTAGTGTAAGTTCAATATTTGTGAGAGTCATACTTTAGAACTTTCTAGTTTATAAGTATCATACTCATGAGTTTAATTTATTGAACTCACGAGTTTAATAAATTAGTGTCAAGCGGAAACTTTTCGAATGTGATTCATGTATGAGCTCAATATATTGGTATCACACTTTCTTTTTCTAATCAATGTGAACAAATAACGCCTTTTGACACACCCCAACCGAGGCCAGGGCATGCTGGCCGTCACGTGGAAGTGACGTAGCCATGTGCACAGTGCGGAAGCTAAAGGAAATAATATAAAAGTACGAATAATTTAAAAACTAGCATATATAATGTGATAAAATAAGTGCTAGCGTAAGTGAGACGCTGAATTCAGAGCCTAAAGCCTACAGCAGTCCAAAAGAAAAGATACAACAATAGTGCACCCAAAGGTGACCCTACATCGGTGAGTGTCTGTCAGAAATGCCGGGACGTCCTCTGGGAAAACCACCGAACCCGCTAAGCTACTAGAACCTGGAGGGGTGCAAAACAAAAGCGTGAGTGGGCAAAAACAAATTCTTTGAAAACCATTTCATAAAATATATTCTAACCCCTCGCCGTAAAACCTGTATACTTCCTAGAAAATAAACATATATACGTATGTATAAATATGCCAATCATGCTCACGAATATGCCATGTCAAAACCTCATAATGAAAAGCAGGTGCTCAGGTATAAATCACATCAATAGCATAAAATCTGACAGCCGGAGTCCCCTAAGGACCTGTACGGCTGAATCTAGAGCTCAAATCTCAATCTCAATAACTAAACCTGCCCACGAGTCGGAACCACCTATAGTGGTCTGTACGACAGGCCTGAGTGTAAAACATATAAACGCTCTAGTGCTACGGTCACGTGAAGGCTGTGCGAATAATCGCGGGTCACCTACGAGTCGGAACCACCTATAGTGGTCTGTATGACAGGACTGTGCACCTAACTTGGATCCAAGCTGAGCGTATGGTGCGGGAGGTGAACAACACATGAAGGATTGTGCCCTACTCTAGGCGAGAGCACTAACACCGGGGGTGCAGGTTATGAGCTCTCTAAGCCTCTCGAACCACTATTGAATGCAAATGTTAAAAAATGCTTACCTGGCACTTACCTGTACCTCCACAGCACCATTATATATATACACATACACATAACTGAATTTATAAATAAACGTAGATGCAACTAATCATGCATAACCACCAATTATATAAAAGAAACGGCATATAACGAATAAGCATTTATACTAATTTCTGGGAATTAATATGTATATAGGTATATACGGAAAACCAAAAGCCCACTCACTGGTATGTGGAAGGGTCGTAGCCCCCCTGCCTCAAGTGTGCACGCTCGTCCTCGGGATACGTGTCACCTATATGCGAATTAACTATAAAAACGTTAACTTTAAAGCACATAACCTTCCGTTCAAAATAACTTCTCATACATTGCTCAAAATGGACAAATGAATATACCAACGTGCTCTACACAACCTCAGGATCACAACCATATTTTTAGAAAAATTTTCCTCCGCCGCACGTGCTGCCACGCGCCGGCCACGCGCAGGCACGTGTGGCGCACACTGACGGCGTCAACTGACGCCGTTAGGAATATTCCGTCAAAACTGACAGATTCCGTTAACGGCGTCAGGAATATTCCGTCACCTTCTCCAACGAGACTCCGGCTCCGTCGCTGGCGCCGTCGCCGGAAAACCTGAAACTTGGGTTTTCTAGTTCGTTTTTCAACCATTTTTCACGCTTCTTGCACCAAAATCAACCTTAGAACTAGTAGAACATGTCCCAACAAGTTTTAAGGCCTAAAACTATAAGGTTTTACTTGTAAAAAAACTCCATAGCTGGCCAAACTCGAACCAGGCTATCCCTACGTTCAACCTCGTCCAACGATGCACTCCCAAGCTCCTGGGAACCTCACAAGGACATCTAAGAGCTCCAAAAGTCCAAAAACAAGCTAGAATAAGTTTGCATGAACAGTGTTCAAAACGGAGCTTACGAAATCGACGTGAAAACGACTGGTTTCTCACCTGAAAATGGCACCACTCGATTCCTCTCAGCCTCACAAGCACGATGGCGGTCTTGGTTCCCTCGATCTGTGATGTTTTAGTGTAGTTGTGTGTGTGTCCGTACGAGTTTGAAGGAGAAGAAGAAGGATAGAGACTCGGGAGAGAGAGAGAGACAGGGAAAGAGACTGAGAAAGGGATAGGGACAATGAGGGTATGTGTGTAATCCCCAAGCATGCCAACAAGGCACACAAATAACCAATAACACAACCAACTAACTAGGGGCAAAATGGTCATTTCACATGTACGTTTCGATAATTCCGGAACGGAATGTCACACCTTCCACACTAAACCAGAAAACTATGTGTGATGCCAAGAGTATAGGAATCAAACTCCTATAGTAAATCTAAAAATTTGAGTGCCATGAGAATAATTCTTATTTGTGAGTTCAATATAATGATCTCATGAGTGTGATACATATACAATAAATAACAAAAATAAAGAAAATAAGTAGCCAATCATACAATAAAGAAAGAGGTGTGATATCCACATACTCCTTCTTACTTCTCACACACCCTTTTAATTTTTGACCGTCGGATCGGATTAAATGAAGAAGATTAACGGACAGAAATTAACAAGGGATGTGTAAGAAGTAAAAATGAGTGTGTGGATAGCACACCCCTAAAGAAAAATTAAAAGTGGATGGGTCCATATTTAACATATAAAACTCATCATTATCAAACTCACACTATGATAATAGTGTAATACATATTAAACTCATGGTGTCTGATTCTGAGATCAAATCTTCTGCACCCAAAATGGATGTAATCTCTCTATAGATCCAATAATTGATTGACATGTATTTATAAATTAATTTTTTTTTGTTATTTATTTAATGTGTCAAATAATAATTGGAGTCAGGCTATATT